GCCTTGTGAGAAATGTGTTCTGGTGAAATTGAGACACAGGAAGGGGGGAGAAAATAAAATTTTATATTAAAAAAAATAACTTGGGGAGCTAGAAAAACCCTAACTACCTACTATTCCCATCTGACTCCTCACACAACAGGCTTCTCTGAAGCTGTGATAAATGCAAAAAGAAGCTTATGGACAGGGTGCCTAAACTCTGGGAGACTAGCTAAGGGAATGGGGTGGGGCACCAGGTCCTTTCTTATTTGAGGGAGGGCCCTTCTTTTTCCAAAGATCTGGGATCCAGCTTTGCATTTAGCAGTTCTCTGAGGCCTGTGTGTGGCTTCAGGTAGACTCAGGTGGACCATACCTGTGATGGCTGAGACTGCCTGGGAGGAGGGTCCACGCCCATCAGCTCTGGCTTCTCAGTAGACAGAACAGCTGTGTCAGGGAGGGATGTTCCAGAGAGACCCGACAGGCCCAGCATTTAGTGAACCCTTGAGCCTTGGCATGTGTGTGATGTACCCTGGTCTTAGAGCTAGTCACAGACAGAATCAAGGTTCTCTGTTGCTAAAGTTATTCACTGGACTTTTTAATTGTAAAAGCAATCGGGCCTCCTCGTTAAGCATGCAAACAATGGAGAACATTTTAGATTGCATAGTAATTTTCTTCTCACACATGACTGACTGCCGACCTGTAACTGCTTTCTCCAGGGCAGCTGACTGGCAGCCAGCCTCTTCTCTGTTGGCCCTGGCCTTGGCCTAGGTGGGAGCAATCAACTGAGTTGGACAGAGGGGAGAGGTCAAGATGGAGCATGCGTGTGCCCTGGGCATTTCCAGAGACTGGCCTGAGCTTTTGTAGCTGCATAGACTAAGTCTATTTGTCTGAACTTAGGAGGAATGCACCCTTCTTGCTGTTGCCTTCTTTGTAAAGAATCTAGCCTTCCTTTCCTCTTACTCATCACTGCTGAGTGTGCTAAGAGATTGGTCCAGGGGTTCCTGAGTATTCGGGGTGACTGCTGCTTCACCTGATATGGCGTGGACTTGAGAAAGGTGGGCTCTCTTCTGATACCCAGCACCGTGATGCATGTATAAAGAGGTCGTGGACTGGATGGATGTTATGGAGTGTTGGTTTGGGCTGAGCAGACACAGCCCAAGGTCAGGAATTCCATGTCTGTGTCCCTGTTGCTCTCAGTGCAGATTTCCTCTCCCTAGCATTAGGGTGATTCCCCCTGACTCTGACCCTTGAATCTAGAATCAGTCCTTTCCTGGCATCAGATGTGCGACTCTTCTATTTTGCCACTCAGATGCCTCCATGCCCACACTCCTACCAGTTGCAGTGCACGCAGAAGCTTGGCTGAACAGGGCTGAACCTCCGCAGAAAGCTCCTCTCCTCCTCCCAGCAGAGCACAGAGTGCTGGGTTTTTCTAGGGTTGGTGGAAATGCTGACCTCACTAGGATTCTCACCATGTCTGTCTCCTCTGTGCACATGATTTTGTTGGGCCCACTTCTTCTGTAAGGTTTCCTCCTCAAAATGTATACCCTTGGTTCCAATGCTGGGCTGTTGGGTTTCAGAGCCTTGTATGTTCTCATGTGGCTTTTGCCAGGAGCTTGAGTCCCTTTGGATCCAGCCTGGTGGTCTCAGAACAATGTCAAGATGTCTTTCACTGTACTGAGTTGTCTGGTCCCATGGACCTTGCCTTGGTAATGGTCAGATTCCCATCTGCTTGCCACCAGCCACCAGCCTGCTAAGTAGGGACTTAGCAGAAGGGAGATTGGACTGCTATGGGCTCCTCACCTTTCCTACAAAAGAGGCTAGGTCCCATGTGAAGTTCAAGGAGTAAATCTTCTCCCAGACCAGGCATGCAGAGGGAAAGGGGACAGGTGTTTGTCTTTGAAAGGCCACACCCAAGGAGGGGGACTGGACAGTGACACTGCTCTCTTTTTGCTTTCAGGTTTTAGTGGTTTCCCTCTGATTCTGGAACTCATGGTGCTGTACCTCATTAGAGGTTTCTGTTCCCATCTCTTCCTTACTCTCACTTAAGAGTCTGCATAGCTCAAATCATCTTTGGGGCAGCTGTCTCTCCTTGCTAAACTCTGGGCCCTTCTGCACCTTTCCTTCACTGTCTGTATGTGCTGCACCTGGCTTGCTTAGCATCTAATAGAAGTCTTTTAATGTCTTCAGTGGTAGCTGCAAGAAAGCAGGGACTCTATCCCAGGACCTGGACAGCCACCTGCCACAGCGTCAACATGTAGAAGTGTTTGTTGAATGGCTAAAGTATGAGCCACTTACAGTATTAAGGGTGTGTATGTGCTTGGCCAGTCTAGAGTACTGGACTCCAGAAAAACTTGATTCATTAGCAAAGTAATTCTGCATCCATTAGCTCATTTGATCCTCTAAGCGACCCTGTAGGTTTGCAGTGTGAATGGAATTTGCCTTCTTAACAGTACAGAAAATGGGAGCTGCAAGAGGTTAAGTGATGGGCCCTGGGTTGCACAGGCTCCACCTGCAGTCACTAGCCTGTCTCCTAAAGCCAAGCTGAGTGAAAAAGGAGGACCAGCTTCTTTAGAAGGGAGAGCTGTGGGGATAGGGCTGATCTAGAGCAGCATTTGTAGGTGAGAGGACTGTGTATTCACACCAGCCAGCGGGTGTGGAGGAAGGCCATGTTATTGGAGGAAGATGGGGTCTCAGTCCAGGTGCATGTGCACAGGATGGGAGAGAAGCATGAGATGGGTGTGGAGAGGCAAACGTCCTGACTGTAGCAATCCTCGGGTCTCTGAGAGCCAAATAACACTCTCAGAGGACAGGGAGTACAGCTGAGATAGGAAGCCAGGCACATCTGCTCTGTCCTCTACCAAGGGGCTTTGTTTAGAAGTATGTTTGGGATTCTAGTCTGAAATCTCCAAGAGAGGAAGCTTGGAGGGGGAAAGCTGTGAATTCCTCTTGGTTTTTGCTCATTAGTGCCTGAGAATTCAGAATGCCTGTGCCTGGTCCTAGGTCCTGGTGGCCATGGAATACCTTACCTTAACTCGGGCTTGGGTTGGACAGTTGCTGCCAACCCTTTGTCTACATGAGTTGGACCAGGCTCAGTTTCCAGTGTGGATGCCAATCCATCCCTGGCTATCCTGTTATAACTCATCTCAGACACCTGGGAGCTGGAAAACTGCTGATTTTTTTTTTTTTTTTTGCCAAAAGCACTTCCACAGTCATTAATAATGTTGCTGGCTCTCTGATCTGGCAAGATGTGAGCAGGGTTCATGCACTTCTTGGGTTGAACATGGGTCAATGTAACAGTCACAACCACAGTCCATCATTAAGTGCTAACTATGTGCTAGGTTCTGGGACCACAGAGAATGTGGGTGCGCAGAGTAAGACTGTGTGCTTGTGTGGATAAGGTGGGTGAGGGGTGACATTATAGAGCCGATGGCCCAGTTTTCCATATGTCAGCTAAGTGACCTTGGTAAGTCATTTAGCATCTCTGCTTTTGGGTTCTTTACCTGCAGGCAGGGAGCATGATAGGCATGAGAGTTTCATTGCAAGTTCTTCCAAGTAGCAATCGAGTCTGAAATAGCATATTGCCTGTAGTAAATAGTTGGTAAATATTATGTTATCATAGAGCTGAGCTCTTAGAACTACAGACTTCCACATGCTAGCCTAATCCGCTCAATTTCACAGGGGAAACTGAATCTCAGAGATTGACTCACTGAGCTTGTGAGCACTTAGTTCCTTGACTCCTGGGATAGCCCCATGTCCTGGCATCAGCCTGCTTGTTGCCAGGGAAACAGTATGCTTATGTGATGCCAGCTGTGGGCCATGATTGTTCTCCCTTGAGGAGCCATAGGGCCTGAGGTGGCCTCATTTCCCCACCCTCACTATCCTATGTCCCTGTTACTCCATCCACATTGCGCGTTGCAGCCTGAGATTCTCCAGATCATGGAGAGCCAGAGAATAGCAGAGAAACCCACATCCATCTGTCTTGAGGAGCCTGCAGCGTCAGAAAGAGTAATCAAGATCTTGTTGCCCACAGCTGAGAGCAAGCCTGTAATTAATCTGGCTGCCTTTCTGAGTCCCTCTGTCCTCCCCATCAGCAAACACCTTCTGGTGGCTGTCAGCTTCTTGTCCATTTCACCCTGGAAAATGATGATTAATGATGTGGTAGTCCCGTGAGGATGAGAGAGAGACCAGCAGAGGGACCACTGATGAGTCGGGAGAGAAGAGGCCATTTGGTACAGCCAGACCAAGGGGATCCAGGCAGTGTGTGCACCACTGGAATGCAGGGTACTGTTGGACAAGGCTCTTGCTGTGAACTGGCTGCCAGCTGTGGATCAGCCAAGGTTTATTGAGTGTCTACTAAACATCAGCATCATAGCAAGGTCTCTGGTGGATGCATGTCTGGAGGACAAGTACCCTGTCCCCATGGCAGAAAGAAAGAAGTACAGAATTCAGTAACCATTCATACATTCTTTAATTCAGTTCCACAGAATTTGTCTACAGTTGCCCTGTGCCAGGCGCTGTCCAGGGTTCTGGAGGTGTCGCCTTTCTGGCAACAAGCATAGTACAGCATAGTACAAGCATAGTACAGGGGTCATAGTAATTTCCATTAGAATGGAGACACTGAGGATCTTCTAGGTGAGGAAGGTGACCAGTGTTGCAGCAGTGAAAAAACATAAGCTAAATTCCCCCTTCTAGGAGAAGTCTAGTGTTTGGTGCTAGAGTAGAAAAGCTTCCTGGGCAGATCCATGCTTTGGAAACAGAGGTGAGGAGTAAGAAACCTCAGCTCCCAGTGCAGTGCCCCAACATACACCTTTGAAGCCCTGAAGGGATAGAGTGTGATTAAACAGTGCCCAGGCCCACAAACAGGGCAGATGGGAGGACCAAGGGAGGAGAACTTGTGGGTGGAGAAATTGCACTTGGTTTGAGAATTCCTTATGGGCAGGCCCCTGAATAAATGTTGCAAGTAAACACCTTGCGGCTGACAGTATCTGCTGCATGCGCTCTCTGATTGGATTCTTTCATTGTTTCAACAGATATTTTTGAGTGCCTACTATGTGCCAGTCTGTGCCAGGCACTGGGGACACAGGTGAAAAAGTGCCAATTGTTTCCTGCTCTGCTGGTGCTCATCATCACCCCGGAGGTAGGCATTGCTGTTCTGGTGTCACCGGTGGATGGGGAAGCAGACCAGAGCACAGCTGCTCAGTAGTGCTCACTCACAAGGCCAAGAAGGCTTCAGATTGGGTGCTGATCTACACTTACCATGATTGGTGTGATCTCCCAAGTATGTTGAGAATGATATGCTCACTTCCATGGCAAAGTTGCTTTTGAACCTGTTACCATCCTCTCACCTAAAGCACAGAACTGTCAGGGAACTGCAGAAGTTGTTAACCAGGCTGGGTGTTGGGTACAACAGGAAAAGCTACTGCCTGGGATGCTGGCATTTGGGGGTCAGCCCTGGCTATTCCACTTCTGACTCAGCTCCCAGCTAATGGCTCGGGAAAAGCAGCAGAAGATGACACAGTTATTTAGACTTTTGCCATCCATGTAGGAGCTCTGGAAAAAGCTCCTGACTCCTGGCTTTGGGCTTGCCAGCTGTGGCCATTGTGGCATCTAAAAGTGAACCAATCAATGGAAGATAGCTCTGTCTCTCTCTCTCTCTCTCTCTCTCTCTCTCTGTTACTCAGACTTTCTAAATAAGTAAATATTGGGGGAAAAGAAATTGGAAGCAAAGTTTTTAACAATGGAGTCTTTCAAAAGCTCATAGAAATATGTATTACGAATAAAACTGTCCATGTCTTTCATTTTTTTCCACCAAAATTAACCTTTTACTTAATTAAAAAATTATTTGAGAGACAAAGAAGTATGACAGAGGAAAAGGGAGAGACGGAAAAGAGAAAGATCTATCCACTGGCTTATTGTCCAAAGTCTGCAATAGGTAGAGCCAGGCCAACCTGAAGCCAGGAACTCTGTCTAGGTCTCTAACCTGTATGGTGCGGCATGGGCTGTCTTCCATGGCTTTCCCTAGTGCATAAACAGGGAACAGAATGGGAAGCAGAACATGTGGGACTGAAACCACAGTGCTAATATGGGATGCTGGCATTGTGAGCTTTGACTTAATCTGTTGCGCTACAACGGTGGTCTCCTACTCCTTCCCCTTGGCCTTTGAAAAAAATGTATTCACTTGTGTGAAAGATAAAGTGGCAGAGAGATAGAAAAACTTATTTATATCTTTTTAAAGATTTATTTATTATATATATTTAAAAAGTCAGATACAGAGAGGAAGATCTGCGTCAACTGGCTAACTCCCCAAGTAGCCGCAGTGGCTGGAACTGAGCCAATCCGAAGGCAGGAACCAGGAGCTTCTTCCGGGTCTCCCACATGGATTCAGGGTCACAAGATTTTTGGGCTGTTCTTGACTGCTCTCCCAGGCCGCAAGCTTCCTGGATGGGAAGCAGGACTGCTGGGATTAGAACCGGCACCCATATGGGATCCCAGTGCATGCAAGGTGAGGACTTTAGGCACTAGGCTATCACATCAGACCCAACAGAATAAATTCTTTTCAGGCTGTTTTTCCTTGAACTTTTCAAGGCACCTTTGTATACCTGCTTTGACTTCAGCGATTCTATTCTGGACTGCCACCAAAGAGGAGCATGGGTTTGTTCTTGTGTGCGTTTGAGCCCTAGAACTATTGCTCTACTTACTGAGCCTTTTTGAACCTCACCTTCCACAACTGTGAAATGTGGATGCACCACTGTCTTACGTGGTTAGTGTAATGGTCATAAAGAGTTCATCCATATGTCACAGGAGCAATCGGAGTGTGGAGAAGTTAGCTGCTGAGAAGAGAAGGGAAGCTAGGACATGATAGTGTAGGACTCAAACCTGTGTTCTTCTCTGTGATGAGCAGTCTGAGCTTCAGGCCCTTAGAGAAGAGTGGTTAATACATGTTTGCATCCCTCTGCTTATCAGCATGTATGCCGTGTCACAGCCAACCTGAACTTGCAGCATTGTGTCTGCTTTGATTGTTTGCCATAATTAACACAAAAATATATATTAGCCAAACCACAACTTCCCTATTATTGGTGTCAACCATGAAAGTGCCTTTTGACACTGTCTGCTCTCTTACTGTTAGTAACAGAGCACCTAGTATGTGCCAGATAGTGTGCTAGGTACAAACATGGTCCCTGCCAGCCAAGCTTCCAAGTCTATGGGAGACAGCTCATTACTGTGAGCAGGAGGGAGTGCCTAGTGAAAAATGTTCCAGGTGTGGTATCTGTAGACAGGAATGGCTCATAGCTAACCTGTGGGGAGGTCATGTGTTGATCCTGTGAAGCAAATTGTTTGCTGGCCTTTGGTGGAGGGGCCTGCACTTCAAGTAGAGGCACACACAGTGGGGGCAATAGAATGATGTGGTGTGCTAAGGGAGGTGAGGGATGCAGTTTTTCTGATGCGTCAGAAAACTACCCTGGGATAGTTGATAAGGAAAAGTGAATGGGCCCGGTCATGAACAAGGTGAGTGGTCCCCTGTGCCACCCAGAGTTCCTGAAGGCTTTGCCAAGTATGTAATTTAGTGAAAATTAGTCTGGAGTGTGTTAAGCTGCTGCTTGGTATGCCCACATTCTGTGTTGGAGCACTGGTTCAAGTCCCAGCTATTCATCTTCCAGTCAGCTTTTTGTTTATGTGCCTGAGAAGCAGTGATGGTGGCTCAAGTGCTTAAAATTCTGCCATCCAGCTGGGAGGCCTGGATCCAGTTCCCAACTTTAACCTGGCCTGGCCCCGAGTATCTCCCTCTTTCTCTCTTTCTCTGCTTTTCAAACAAATAAAATAGGTAAATCTCTTTAAAATGCCCTAGTTATGATGTGGAGAACCAAAGGGAGAGAAAAGACCCAGAGCAGACAAACCAACTGAATAGTGTTGTTGCACTCATGAATTCTGCACTTGGACCATTGGTGGCTGAATGAAAACATGGCTATAGTGTTCAGGATGCAAGGCTGTCAGGACTCCGACGGATTAGATATGATGGTGTGGGTCTTAGAAATATTGGATGACTCTTAGCTTTCTGGCTTGGGTGACTGGTGGATTGTTGTCACTCACTGAGAAGGAGAAGTAGGAGGAAATACAAATGGCAGGTGTGGTGGAGTTGACACCTCTTTAGGGCCAGTTGCATGCGAGGTACTTGAGAGGCAGGTCTGTGGGTATAGATATCACAGGCCTGAGCTGCTGATTGGGGACACTGCAGTAGCCAGGTACTAATTAACCATGAACAAAGTTCAGACCTTCAGGAAGGGGCGACTTTGTAGAAAGAGGGGTTATTTCTTTATCCTAAAATTATATATATATATATACATATTTAGTTAGTTAATGACAGCTACACTGCTGGGTTCTGCAAGTAGATTCATCTTAATATTATCCTGGAAATAAAATCTCAGGTTTCTTTGCTGTTTTTTTTTAAAATGGTTGTTGTTTTTAGTAAGAAAGCTAGTATCTTCAGGTTTCTGTTCTATAATAGTTGAGATATAAAGGGAAAGCCAGCCTGGCTATGTGGTCTTGAATCAGGCCCTTCGGTGTTGGGTTCAGCTTCCTCATCTGTAATAGAGCTTGTCTGATGGGTAAAACTCAGCAGAGACTGGGAGAAGTTTTGCAAACCACTGCAGCTTCAGACATGCCAGGCAGAGGGTTTTTGTGTTTGTGTAGCATTCAGGGGAGATTCGTTTCTCCTCATTATAGCCTGGTCACACAAGGGAGCCCCACGAGAAGCCCCAAACCTCAGCTCTGCCAGGTTGCTGTTAAGTGTGGTCTTGAGAATGAACCAGGCTTCCAGGCCACAAAAAAACAAAAATTCAGAACCACATGGACCGAGTGTCATCTGTCATCAAACTCAATTTACACAGGCTCGTCTGATACCCATTTAATGGTCTGTGTGACAATTATTGTGTGGTGAGCTGGTTGGGCATAAATGCCAGGCATCTCATGTGTAAATGATTATATTTAGTATTACTTTTATATAGCCTAACCAGATTTTTACAGTTCTTTCCTCTTTGACAGTTCATTCATTTATCTACTTAATAAATGTTTGTTGGAGCTGTAATATATGCAAGGTACTGTTCCACGACCTGGAGATACAAATGAAGATCTCTGCCTCTGCCCCATTTCTGTTGGGCTGGTGCTCTAGGCCTGAGGGAAGATAGACATCTGGAATAATCAACAGCATCTGTAATGAGTCTGGCTTCCCCAGAGACTGCACCAACACCCACGAGTTACACAGGGCAAGAATTTATGTATGGATTTGCCAGCTAGGGTTGTCTGTACCTCAGTCCATTACCCATTATCCTCTCTGGTTAGCAGGCAGTTGTTCAACAGACAGGCACTGAGCACCTCTTGTGTGTTAGTAGATTCTAGTAACAGAATAGGAAACTACTAACAGTCCTTAGCCTTAAGGATCTCTGGTGTAGACACATAGAGGCAGTAGCCAGAGTGAAAAGTGCTGTGTCAGAGCCATGGAGAGGAGGCTGCTTTGAGCAGAGGAGTCACCATGAGCACAGCGAAAGCGAGGTGCCGGGTGGCTCAACTGTGTGTCCTAGAGAGGCCAGGGAGCACTCAGCCCAAGCTACTAAAGCATAACACAGCAGGAAAAGTGCTCCTGCTCAATGAGTTTCGACAAACTACACCCCTATGTCACCTGCACCATTGAACACCATGTAAAAGACAGAACTCCCTGGTGTCCTGAAAGCCCCTGGTGTTCCGTGCAGGGGTTTGCATGCTTGGGGAGTCAGGTGGCTCATCATCTTACACTAATTTTAGTATGCATCCTAGACCCTAGAGTTAGCCTACAAATTTATCCCAGAGTGACTAGAAGTAATTGTGTAGCATTGACTGGAGTTCCAATAAAATAAATAGTTATCTAATTTTTCAATTTTCTATAAATAGAATTATACTGTACATATTCTTGTGCCTAGTTACACTGTTGAATATGATATATTTTCATGAGATTCATATATGTTGCTACGTATATGTAGTTATTAATTTTTTTCTTTTATAAAAATGGATTCATTTTCATTTTGTTTTAATGACAGGGGGAGAGTGAAAGGAAGGGGGATGAAGGGAGAGAGAGATCTTCTATTTGCTAGAGAGAGAGAGAGATCTTCTATTTGCTAGTTTACTCTTCAAATGCGCATGATAACCAAAGCTGGGCCAGACTAAAGTCAGGAGCCAGGAATTTCATCCAGGTCTCCTACATGGATGTCAGGCATCCAAGTATTTGAGGCATCTTCTGCTGCCTGCCAGTGTGCACATTAGCAGGAAGCTACAACCAGAAGTAGACCCCAGACTAAAACCAGACATTCTGATGCAGGATGCAGCTGTCTCAAGCGGTACCTTAATTGCTGTATCAAACACCCACCCATATTAATTTTCATTTCTTCATAACATTCTACTATATGAGTATGCATTCTATTTCTCCTTTCTGTTGGATGTTTGGATGGTTTCTAAATTGGGGAGAACTAAGGAGTGCCACTATGAGCATAACCAACACGTGTCCTTGGTGAGTGTGTACATGCATTGATTCAGTTGGATGTATCCCTAGGGATGGAGTTGCTGCATCATCGGGGTCTGAATAAAGTTATAGGGGACTGTTCCCACAGGTTTACACTCTCACTGACACTGATGCATGCTCCTCATGTCCTCACTAACACTTGATGCCATCATTTTATTTTCTTCAAAGCCATTCTGGTGGCTACATAGTGGTATACTGTTGTGATTTAAAATTGCATTTTCTTGTTGCCTGTGAGGCTGGACACCTTTGCCAGTGTCCGGGCACTGGATATACTCTTCAGTAAAGTGTTAGTTCAAATGTTTTGTTTCTCTTTCTATTGGATTCTCTGTCTTGGAGGTAGAATGAAGCAACATTTTGATATTCTACATTCTAGAGGTCCCTGGGTTTAGGGTATGCAGGTGTGCACCGGCCACACCCTCACCCCAGGAATGAGGCTGGGCTGATCACCTGCAGTCTCTAGGTCTCAGGGTGTCTGAGAAGACGCCCTTGGGGAGAAGCAGTTACCCTCCCTACCAAGATTCTGCCCTTGACATTGATGGGGGGAGTCCTCTCACCTTAGGAAGGAGGTGAGGGGTTGATGGAGGAAGAGTGGGGTAGGCTTCCTTTTAGCTGGCAGCAGAGGCAGGGGTGGAGATCAGATGATTACTTGGGATGTGCTCCCCTATAAGGGGCTTTGGTAGGACTCAGTCTCTCCCATCTTGGCTGGTGAGGGGCTGGCGTTTGAGTATCCTTGTCCAGACCAGCCCCTGTACCTGGCAACTTTTGTGTTGTCCTAATCAGTCCCCAGCTCACCTCCATTGGGAGGGCTTGGTGGACCACATTTCTGCTTTGGATGATGGAGCTGAGATAGAGAGAAGCCTCACGAGGACCATGCAGTCAGCAGGTAAAGAAGCAGGCCTTACCCAGCCACTAGGGCGTGCTCATCCATGAGGACTTCATTCCCTGTCAGAGATGCTAAGGGGGAAGTGAAGTGGTGTGGATCTTACAGCCAAGGTCATCGTAGCTTCCCTGTGTGGGTCATGGGAGACAGTTGCCCCCAATTTTGACTCATTAGCTTCCCGTGGCACTACCAGGTATTCTTGTCTGGGTGCTTGGCTCAGGTCCCTTGGGTGGAGGGTGCAGTGGGCAGCCTGGCCGATGTAGTACTCACATGCTCCCTCACTCTCCCACAGAGTTATGTCATGCCCAGACCAGCAGAGGGCTCCATGAGGATTTATAGAAGATGCCCCGCGTCTCGGCGCCTTTGGTGCTGCTTCCTGCGTGGCTCGTGATGGTCGCCTGCAGCCCGCACTCCCTGAGGATTGGTAAGTGCAGCCTGGCCAAGGGAACGCTCCCTTCCGGGGACCTTGTGTATCCAATGGGGGCATTGAAATACCAGGGAAGTGGCTGTGCCCTTCCTGAGTCTGGCAGGCCTGATGATAGTGGCAGTGGTGGTGGTGATGGGGGCAGCCCCCTAGCTGACAGCTATGATGTAAGATGCTACTAACTCCTGTTGCACTGTAGGATGGATTCAGTCTGGAGTGGGAAGGGGCTGCTGTTGGGGAAGAAGGATGGTGAGCATGCCAAGGCGTCCAAATCCAGGGCTAGAGTGTCGGCAACACCCGCGTCACCGCATACCCTGAGCCCCTCAAAGAAGAGGTTGTTTCTGTTCTCTGATTGGTCCAAGCCCAGCTTGTTGTGTCCTCTGTGGTTTCCAGGAAGCTGGGAGTCTGCCTTAGGGTTCCAAGCCTGACTGCTTGGAAAGGCCCCTGACTCAGTGTCCTTTGGCTATGGCCTGGCCCTGAGAGGGATGGTGGGATCCCTTTGGTCTCTCTCCCTGACCTCCCTGCTGGGGGGTGTCCACTGTAGCTGCAGGTAGACAGAACTTCCACCTGTACTTTCAGCATCCCCAACTCTGGTGAGGGAAGACCTGACAAGTCAAGTGCCTCCTCCCTCTTCTGGAACTGAATGAAGCTTGGTAACTGTGGGCTAGAGTCCTCTAGACCCTGGGTTCCTGGGGACACAGTTGCAGGGTGGAAGACAGGGTCCAGACCAGCATGCACAGTGTGGTCCCTTGATAGCCAGCACAGAGAATTGTGGTCTGGACCAGTCAGAGGGCATCAGGGGTTGTCTGCTTGTATCTGCAGGGACCAGGATCAGTGTGGGGGAGGGGTATCAGTTTGTAGGGGAGGGGTATCGCAGTGAGTAATCTCAGCTCATATTGGTCATCAGAAGATGAATCCCACAGCAGACCCCAGGGACAAATGAATCCTAAATGTCAAGTGGATGACCTGACCCCATCATGATCCTAGATCCTAAACTGGAAATGGAACAGTCCTGAAGCCAGTGAAGAAAGATGGCTTTTATTCTAATCCCAGGGAAATGACATGAGCCCCTTCCATTATACTCAGGGCTGGCCTGCAAGGTCTAAGTCTGAGTGAGGTTGGGATACTGGTGGTGATGAGGAATCCATGGGAAGAGGTGGATTAGTAGCCAAGACCCTGGCTGGGAGTGTGAGTGGCTTCACCCCGCTCAGTGGGCCTGCTTTTCCATGCAGTGTCAGCTGATTGGGTTCCAAAAGGGATAGGGTACAGTTCTCCCCCACAGCCTGCCTTCCACTCCTCACCCTGCATGCTTAAAACAAGGAATTAAAACCACAAGCAGCTCTCCCTCTTCCCCATTCATATCTATAGAAATTTCAAAATGTTACTTAATTCTGCTCGGCAGTAGTGCAAAACAGTTTGGAACCTTGGGGTGCTCAATTTATAAGATGCGTACAGCTTTTGCTGAAGAGGTTTTTGTCCCCTGTAAATGAGCAGATCAAACGATAACCTATCCATTTCCATTTGTTGCTAATAGGAAGTGGAAAGGAATCGAGCCAGGGATGGTTGCGCCAAGCAGCTTGGGCTCTCCAGGGAGGAAGTCGAAAGCAAAGCTGTAGATCCCTCTCTTGGCTGCGACGCCCACGACAAAGAGCTTCAAAGGGATCCCATGGCTCCCATGCCCCACATTCTGAATGGTGCTTGTCCAGACTCTGAGGCAACTCTGCTGGCCTTGGTTTTGGTTTATGCCAGGCCACTTCCCATCAGTTTCCAGCCAGGAACCCTGCTGGCTGGCAAGGTCGAGCTATGCCTGCTTTCCTGCAGAGGTCAGGAAGCCAGCTGAGCCAACCAAGAGAAAGAAAAGCAAAGCTCTAACAGTCATGCCAGGCTCAGCTCTCCTGTCTTTTTGGTTATCCTGGGAGTTGGGGGCCTTTTGAAAGTGCCCTGATCCTAATGGAGGAAAGGTGCTAATTACAGAAACTCCAGAGGGACCATGGAGTAGGCCAGGCATGGAAAGAGAAGTAGGTCAAGAAAATACAAGGAGCTGTGCTGGTGACGGTGGCCTCATCGTGGACGCTGCACTGGCCTTGACCGTGCTGGGTCCCCCCACCAACACACACACACACACACACACACACACACACACACACACACACACACACACACTTCACAGGGGTCAGCGCTGCCTGTATTTGGGAATGAACAGCCATCAAAACAGCCCTATAGGAAGGGACCAGGAATCTCATAGATAAATGACATAGGCCGTTGTGTCCTCAGCCTCACTTGTCTGGTGGTGACAATATGGATGTTGGTGAAGAGCCTGCCGAACCCATTACCCTGCCTTGTATTGGCTGTTTTTCATTCAAGTGAGGCACGGGGCGGGAGGTACAGCCAAATTGTCTATTACAGTGTCTGGTGTTTACCCCCTGAATAAGGTTTTGGGTAAGAGAATGGGATTTTATTTATGACTGCAAGGCTGCCTGCATAAATTCCCCAAACCCTCACACATATGTCAGCCCCCTTCAGTCATCTATCTTGTGGAAATGTATTTGGATGTGGCTTTGTCCCTCTGGGTTTTCTGAGCGATGACTGTGGAGCCACAAAGTTAATAAATGTCTGGCGAAGACTCCTCCCACCCCCACACATCGTGTTTTAAATCTCCTCTAGTACTTAAAGAAATGGTCTTTGTTGTTTTCATGTCTTGGACCCTAAAGGATGATGAGGATCTGTCATCTAATCTGCTCCTTTTGCATGTGAGAACTTGGGTTGGTGCTTGGCCAAGGTAACATGGCAAGCTGATGGCTTGGCTGCTGGCAATTGGCTGTAGAGCCTGCTGCCCCGGCTCCTCTTTCAGTGCCTTGGCCCTGCCCTACCAGTGGGCTCCCTTAGCTGCCAGGAGGCAGGATCCCCTTCAACAGGATGTGAAGGTTGGTTTTTCTGTGGTTTCCTCCAGTCCTGGTCTGGAACGTTTGCAGGCATTAGCAAATGTTGCCCTTGCCCGAAGCATAGCAGATACTCATGAGCAGTGGTTAACCACATGCATGTGGGTCTATTCTGTCTGCCCTGACTGCTCCTTCCCAGTTTCACATCTCAACCACAGTGAACAACTGGCCCACAGGTACCTGGCAGGTTCACTCCATGCTAACTTCATCTCCTGCAGTGCTCCTTATCCTATTTATCTCCTTGGCCTGCAAAACAGCCTCATCAGCCTGTGTTCCTCCTCCTCCTTCTTCCTCCTCCATCACTGTTGACTTAAATGGCTCTTCCTCTGTGCGTAGTGCATTTCTCATGGCTATAACAGAAAACTGGAGGTGGGATATTTTGTTTTTTTTAAAAAAGAGTGGTTTATCTTGGCTGGCTGTCCTGGAGGTGCCTTATGCAAGGTTTTATCAGGCAATGGCCTTTTTGTTGGCCAAGTCCCAAGGTGGTGTGGAGTGCAAGTGTATCTGGGTCTTTCTCATTAACTGGGTCTCTCTCACTATATCTGTAAAGCCACTATATCTTCAATCCTGGGGGCTCCACCCTATTGACCCAATCTAATCCTAGTGACTAGAAGCTCACCTCCAAACCCCACAGTCAGTTTCTACCATTAATTTGTTTGTGTATGAGAGTTACAAAGAGAGAGGGACACACACACAGAGACAGACAGAAAGAGAGGGAGAGAGGGAGGGAGAGAGAGAGCTCCCATGTACTAGTTCATTCCCCAGATGGTTGCAACAGCCAGGGCTAGGCCAGGCTGAAACCAGGAGCCAGGAACTCCATCTGGGTCTCCCTTGTGGGTGGCAGAGACCTAAATATTTGGGCCATCTTCCACTGTTTTTTCCAGACTATTTGCAGGGAGCTGGATTAGAAGTGAAATAGCCAGGACACAAACAGCTATGTGGGATGCTAGTGTTACAGGTGGCAGTTTTCTTCAATGCCACCCCTGAGTTTCTGCCATCTTAGTATCTCACATGGAGCTTTAATATCTGAAGCTGTGACGGGTAACTGGGCCATACCCAGACCTCAGCACACTGCAGAGTCCTTCCCAAATGTCCGCTCTCCTTCTGGGGTAATTCATCCTTTTGCTAGTTGCCCATTCCCCTGGGACATCCATCTGTGCCAGCACTTAGGTGTTGTATTTGAATTGACATTCATGTCAGGGTCTGACCTCTAGAGGACAGTAACCACTGAACCAACGGACCTGACCAGGATCCACATACAGGGATCACACATCTCAGTGCACATGATGAATGCAGTCATGGTGCTTGCAAGTCTTGGTTTCCTGGTTACATGTTTAGCATCCCTGCTTTAAAGTGTTTTCTTCTAGTCTAATACATTGTAAATGGCTGGACATAGAAGAGGTACAAGACAAGAAGAAAATGCTCATTTGTCTATTTTACTTACAATAGGAGTGACCTGAAGATCCTGATTGGGTGTTTTTTTTTTTTTTTTTAATCTATGTGTTGGGCCCAGCATGATGGCTCAGGAGCTGAATCCTTGCCTTGTGGGTACCGTAATCCCACGTGGGTGCTGGTTCATGTTTCTATCTTGCTTCCTGCTTATGGACTGGGAGGGCAGTGGAGGATGACCCAGAGCCTTGGTTTCCTAACCTGTGTGGGAGACCCTTGGGAAGCTCCTGGTTCTTTCGGATCAGCTCAGCTCTGGCCATTGTAGCCATTTGGGAGTGGGACAGAAAATGGAAGATCTTTCTGTTTGTCTTTCCTCTCTGTAAGTCTGATCTGTCTTTCCAATAAAGACAAATAATCTTTCTTTCTTTGAGAGGCAGACAGAAGACTGAGACAAATAGTAGAAAGCTCCCTTCTATTGGTTGTTCCTCTCCCCGCCTCTCCCCCCACCCCCAGATTACTACAACAGCTGGACTCTTCCAGACTGAAGCCAAGAGCTGAGAATTCAATCTGGATCTCCCACTTGGGGGTGAGGGACCCAAGTGTTTGTTAGCTTCCAGGTTGTGCATTAGCAGGAAGCTAGATTTATGAATGGAACTGCGGTTTGAACCTAGT